CCAGAAGGTTTTGAAGAAGAAGGAAAAGGGAACTTGGTTTGCAGGTTGACCAAATCTCTATACGGTCTCAAACAGGCGCCGAGATGTTGGTATAAGATATTTGATTCATTCATTTTAAGTCTTGGATACAAAAGGTTTAATTCCGATCCTTGCGCATATTGCAGGAGATTTGATGATAATCAGTTTATCATCTTGCTGTTGTATATTGACTACATGTTGGTAGTAGGCCCCAACAATGATCGTATCACGGAGATGAAGGCTCAACTGGCTAGGGAATTTGAAATGAAGGACTTGGGACCAGCAAACAAGATTCTAGGGATGCAAATTCACCGAGACAGAAATAATAGGAAGATTTTGCTTTCTCAGCAGAATTATCAGAAGAAAATCTTGCGGCGCTTCAACATGCAAGATTGTAAGCCAATTTCTACCCCTCTTTCTATTAATTTCAAGTTATCCTCAAGTATGAGTCCTAGCAACGAAGCAGAGAGGATGGAGATGTCTCGAGTACCGTATGCATCAGCAGTGGGCAATTTAATGTTTGCTATGATCTGCACTAGACCAGACATTGCACAGGCAGTGGGAGCGATCAATCGATACATGGGCGAATCCTGGTAGAGAGCATTGGAGTGCTGTGAAGAGGATCCTTAGATATATCAAGGGTACCTCAGATATTGCATTGTGTTATGGAGGATCAGACTTCATGATTAAAGGCTATGTTAATTCATATTATGCAGGTAATCTTGATTGTAGTAAATCCACCACGGGTTATGTGTTTACTCTTGCTGGCGGAGCAGTAAGCTGGGTCTCGAAGTTGCAGTCGGTTGTGGCAACTTCAACGACGGAAGCAGAATATATAGCGGCTACTCAGGCTAGTAAAGAGGCAATATGGTTGCAAATGCTATTGGAGGAGCTCCGGCACAAATTAGAGAAAATGATTTTATTCTGTGACAGTCAGAGCGCTTTGTACTTGACAAAGAATCCAGCATTTCATTCCAAGACGAAGCACATACGAATTCAGTATCACTTTGTTAGTGAAAATGTGAAAGATAGAAGTGTGGATATATAGAAAATCCATACTAAAGATAATCTGGCAGCTGATATGTTAACAAAGCCTATTACCAACGATAAATTCGTATGGTGTAGATCCTCAATTGGCCTAACAGGAATGCAAGCAGCAGGGAATTGGCAAAAAGGATGAAGATCCACATTGTGACTTTAAGTGGGAGATTTGTAAATATTAAAGTCAAAATGTGGAATGGACAGAGGTTTTGCTTGGAGATTTGTAAATATTAAAGTCAAAATGTGGAATGGACAGAGGTTTTGCTTGGGATAAGGTTAAGAGGAGGTTTTCCCAAAGGAACTTGGGAGGAGGTTTCCTAAGGGAACATGGGAGAATGTTTCCTAAGAGAATTTGGGAGGAGGTTTCTCCTAAGGGAAAAACATGGGCTTAAGTTTGAGTAAAGTTTTTTTTTTTTCTTGCAGGAGAAGAATAATGGCATTCTAGGTACATGGGTTGCTAGCTTTGCAAATCCTTAGGCATATGGATTGCTATAAATATGCAACATCTCTTCATTCTTTCGATTATCCCATCTCATTCGAAATACAGAGAGTATAGCAAAATATAGAGAGTAAAAAATAGAGAGTTATATTTGTAATTCCTATTGTAATATCCTTTATTTAACACCAATTTTGACGGAATAACAAACAGAGTTCTAAACTAAGCGAAACACAACAGTCTGGGACTACATTAAGTCACCAAAATCGTTTAGGACGAAATTAAGAAAAAATCACAATAGTCGATTATCAGGCCATTTTGAGTATTAACTCATAAAAATTTACATGTTGTTAGCTGGGGTTGTAGTCTTAAAATCTGCAACTTCATATCAATTACTATCATCAAAATCTATCTAAACATAATTCCTAATAGTACATACCGTCATTAATTGATGAACTTGAGGATAGGTACATGTACTGCTTTGACCTGCATACTCCCCGCAGCTTTTAATTCAAGTGTTCATACCCAATTATAGGATTTTAGTTGAGAGGAAGAATGAAGTATCTATATGCATGCCTACACCAAAAATACTCTTTATACATTACTTATTAAAGTAGAGTTCCCTGCTTTCTAGGAGTGTGGGCCCATCATTTTATGACGCGTGGACAGTCCAATTCATGTGCAGTATCTGATCGACTACAACGTGAGCGCATGGAAGTCTATCTTCGATCAGACCTTTGCCGTCCCAGATGCCACCGGCCTATGCTCTGTAATTCCAACTTCTAAGGATCCATTAATTAGGTTACAAGTCTACGCACCGGAAAAAGCATGCCAATTAGGAGAAAGCTAGAGGAGGGAGGAAAAACAGGCAAATTATATTATGCACCGCGGTGCATAATGGATTATGCACCGCGCGTCTTTTTTTTTTTTAAATGAAAATAAACAGTGTTAGTTTCCGCCGTTTCGCACCCTTTTGCAAAAAGTAACTCTGTTATTCAGTGTCATTTTGTATACACTGCAGTTTCAGTTCAACACAACTACAGTTTCATTTCGATATAACTATAGTTTCATTCGATATTTATAGACTCAAATATGTGAAAATGTTATTTAATTTTATTTTATATACACTATAGTTTCATTAAAACACAACTACATGATTATTTTGATATAATTACAGCTTCATTGTACAATATACACTCAAATATGTGAAATGTTATTCAGTTTCATTTTATATACACTACAGTTTCATTTCACTATAACTACAACATCATTTTGATATAACTGCAGTGTCGGTTTAGATATATTATAGTGTCAGTTGGTGTTTAATACACCAAACAAGCGGACTCCGTTAACTCTAACGGCGGACCGTTTCTTCACTTAAAGAAACGGCGCCGTTTTTGACCGCGGTGCACATGCACCACGGTCTATAATATAACGACTGGGAAAAACAAAGGAAGAAATAGAAAAAAAAAAAAAAAAAAAAAGGCTGACACGCAAGTTTTTTTAAAAAAAACTAGGCAGTTAACGTGTCATCTGGCGCGTACAGCGCTGCCTGTGCTACAAACTCCCGTCACAATCATTGGCGGATCTAGCATGGGGCAAATACTTAGTAGGATAAAAAAAATAATAAAATATACATATGGCAACCCAAACATGTTGTTAACTTGCTAAGATGCAAATTGCACTTTTTTTTTTCCAGGTTCATGGATGAATTTGGAGCTTATTCGAGTTCTGTGGCTTAATTGATATATCCAAATAGTTCAATGACCTATTTATACCTTTTTCTCAAAAAAATTAAATTAGGCAGTTAACGTGTCAGTTGGCACGTGCAGCGCTGCCTGTGCTACAAACTCGCGCCATAATGCTTGTTTTTTGTGTTTCTGTTTTATGTGAGACCCACAAAAAACCATTTGCTTGCAGGGAGACCTTCGCCTTCTCTCTCCTGCCTTCTCTCTCTTTCGCATGGCAAAAAAACTTGCAAAAACCAAATGAAACGGCTGATGGAGATGCTCTTAAAACATGTTTGAAATCGTAGAAACCGGAAAACTTGTGTTATCAAAAAATACACATCTACAAACTTAATAAGACCCAATAAAGTTAGACCTTAAGGGGAACTAAAAAATATTAGTGTAATCGTTTGATGAAATTAATGGTTCAGATTATTTTGATTTTAGTTTTTTTTTTTCCTTTGATATTCCTAATTTACTCTCTATTATATAATTTTATTTCCTTAAATACCACTGCAACCTGTTAGTATAAACTTTAGTAACGGAATATGCCATTAACTATTTATTATTCTTAACTTACTAAGGGTGTGTTTGGTTTGCAGGTTTAGCACTCAGGTATGGGTATAAAAATGATTGTTATTGTTTTGTTGACTAGTTTTTTAAACACTACTATGGGTTTGGAATACTCCATTAATGGAAAAATCCATTCCCTTATTTTATAAGGGTTTCATCCCATTATTCATCCTTAGCCTAATCATTCCCATTCCACCCTATTACCAAACATGCAAAATACTTTCACCAAAACTCATTACCATTACCAAGTATTTGATACCAATTTCGATTCCGATTCCCATGTGTGAACCAAACACACCCTAATTGATTTTCATAAGGAAGGTCTTAGGTTCGAACCCCATCTCAATCAAAGTTGGCATGCATAATTAAGTTCCACACTCTATTACTCTTATTAAATTAGTAGCTGCAAAAAAGAAAAAAAAAAAAAAACAACAACAACAACAACAAACAAACAAACAATTTAGAATTATGTGTCTACAATGCCTTTATTAAAAAAAAATTATTCATTATCAATAACTTAAATAAGAAAAATAATTTCATTAGTTATATTGTCTTTATTTTCTCCAATGCAAAGATTCTTTACATTCAAATTCATCAATTCCTTATATTCACTACATTGTCCATTATCTCAAAAAATAAAAATAAAAATAGTTTGAAGTCAGTCATGCATATTAACTACTTGGGGGGATTTGTTGACAAAATGGATATGGAAATTGTTGATAAAACTGGACACGTTACAGCTTCAGTATTTGTACTACCTGCAGAGTTATTGTTGTTACTATCAAGTAAACAAGTTATGAAAATAGAACAAGACGTACTATTCATGAACCTTATATATATATATATATATATATATATATATATATATATATATATATATATATATATATATATATATATATATATATATATATATATATATTTCGGATATATATATCAAATACTCCGTATTAGGGTTTATTACCGAAATGGTCCCTCGACTATTGCGAAATTACCAATTTGGTCCTCGATAATTTTTCGTGCCCAATTAAGTCCTCGACTTTGAAAATGTTAAGCAATTTGGTCCTCCGTTTATGCCGTTAGACATCCGTTAACTCGGGACCAAATTGGTAATTTTGTTATAGTCAAAGGACCATTTCAGTAATTAACTTTAAAAAAAATAGTGCATGTGATGACCGAAATGGTCCATTGACTATAGCAAAATTACCAATTTGGTCCCGAGTTAACGGATGTCTAACGGCAAAATAAACGGCGGATGACCAAATTGGTTAACATTTTTGAAGTCGAGGACTTAATAGGCACGAAAAATTGTCGATGATCAAATTGGTAATTTCGTAATAATCGAGGGACCATTTCGGTAATAAACTCTAAATATTAATATTTTATTAAATACTTCCACTTGAAACATGTAAGGAAAAAAACTACCATTGCAAAATATCAGCCGTCGCTTGCAAGATCAAGAATTTATAGTACAACTAAGATCCAGTCATATACATAACAAGACAAATCAACAATTTCCTACACCATAATCTCATTGCATGACACTACCATCTATGCTACCACCAGTAACCCAATTGCAAATAACACACTACCAACAAAAAAAGGTGACAAATAGTAAAGATGAAGACATTGACAATGCTACCCAAAAGAGAATTAAGAAAACTTAGAAAAACTCAAACTAAAAGTAGTATTTGTTTAGACTATAGTTTTTAGACTAAATATTTAGACTATCAATTTTACAAAGTTGTAAACATTTATTTTAGTGACAATTATAATGAATCTCTTCTATTATCTTGCATTCGTATACTTTGAATTACATATTTAAATAAACAAATTTGACATTAAATTACATATGTATGAACTTCTCATATATATTCTTGCATTGATATACTTTGAAATACTTATTTAAATATAAACATGGGCATTAGCTCATTTGCGCAATGCGCGTGTAAAACTAGTATGTATATAAAACTAATATGGTTGGGCATAGTGCTGGTCAAATTAATTTTTCATACAAAAAAGGAGTTTGAACTCCTAATCTCTCTTAAGGGTGAGAATATACAACCACTCACACTAACTAACTTGGTTGTTACACTAACCTGATTAATTCAAGTTTTGCCTCAACACAAATTTCACATTTATTATTTGTGTTAATTTGAAAAGTAGGAATATGGTTAATGCTAAATTAATCTACGTATAGAATTAAAATTAACATGACCTAGTCTACCATGCCACAAATTGGAAGACTAAAGCAAGTAAATAGAAGTAACTTTGCTTTTATTCATGATAATAGGCATTACACTGAGCTTAAAAAGCCCATCAGTTACATAACATTTGCCTACAAACATTCCTAACTTTGAAAAAACTACTTTGTCTAACTCGAACACAATGCGAAATCCATGCTTGTTCAGCAGCGAGCCAGACACCAGATTCTTCTGCATCTCCGAAACATATAGCACGTTGTTCAACGTTAGTTCCTTTCCGGAAGTCATCTTTAGAACCACTTTGCCCACGCCCTCCAAAGCAGACTGAGCAAAGTTTCTCATCCACAACATCTCGCCTTCAATGGTCTCAAAGGTGCTTAACATCTCTCGGTTGCAACACAAATTCCTTGTTGCACCAGTGTCGATGAACCATTCACGCTGGTTAGAGCCACGAGGTTCACCTGAGTCACTATGGCCGAAAGGCTGATCTCGGCCTCCTTCTGACTGCTTTTTCCAACAACGTTGGCTTCAAAACTCTTTTCTTCTTCCATGGAACCTTGCACTCAGAAGACTTGTGGCCAGGCTTGCCACGATTGCAACATTTACGATGAAACTTGGTATGGGTAACGTCTCTCTTAGGACCTAGCTTCTGCTTGTCTTTCTTGTTCTTCTTGGAGTTTTTATTTGTTCCACAAAATTGGCCTTAGCACCACTAGTGACCGGACCTTTCCCGTCATCCGCCATGTTCCCCACCTCAATTCTGAGTCGTTGGATCAGGTGCTCTAGGTTCATCTCCTTTCGCTTGTGCTTAAGGTAATTCTTGAAGTCCTTCCAACCTGGAGGCAACAAGTGAATCATAGATGCCACTTGGAAGGCTTCACTCACCACCATGCTCTCGTCGCGGATCTCGTCAAAGATTAATTTTACTCACAACCAAAAGCCAACCGCTATCACGGATTGGGCATTTTGTTCCTTAATCTCAGGAACCCTCTCGGTCAAGAATCTTGCCAAGCAGAGAATTGTCAGGTAGAACAACATTTTTTGCTGCCACATCTTGAAGTTCAAACCAGCGAACTTCTCTGGCTTTTCAATCGAACCACTCGGTACCGAAGGTACCCGCATCGTGGGGATGTACCCCTCGGTGCTACCACTGTCTTGTGAACCTACATGGGGTGCATGGGAATGTGCAACATTGTTGCCATTCCCACCATTGTTGTTCTCAACAACATTTTTCATCTCCATGGATTGGTAGCATGTGATTCTCCATTTCTTCAAGAAAAATCGAGAATCAAAACAAAAAGAAATAAGGTTTCAAGCTTGTTGGTGGAAATACTCGAAATAATAATAATAATCCTACGAAAAAGGGATTATTATTTCTGGAAAATTCTAGGAAGAAAAAATAAAGGGACGAAAGGGTATTGTGGGTAGGTGGTTAGTACGAGTCGAGCGAAGCACTCTTTCTTTAAAACTTTATTTGCCGTCTCCCAAAGGTGCTAGGAGCGTTACAACCTAGGTTTCCCAAGATAAAACGTACTACGGTTCTAAGTTATGAGCACTCAAACTTAGAACCCAGCGAACAAAAACATGGGATGAACACATGAAGTTTAAGAAAGGAGGAGGAGTAGAGTTTCGAGAGAGGAAAATAAGATTTTCGTTGTATATCAAATCACCTGCTCACCCATGGCTTTATATAGGAGTTGATGGATTAATAGCATTTAACCAAGTCATTAAAATTGATAATAAATCAGTCTTTTAAACCTCTGTTACAGCAGACCATTACTTGAGTATTAAATTTGTAATTCAAACTTAGAATTAATTCAAGATTAAATCCGTAACTGCCGAATTAAGACCCAGAAGGGTCGCTACCCGAGTGGTACTTACGAGACGAGAGTTATCAAGAGGTTGCGAGTGGTTAACGATGTACCTAAGTTGGCGGATTGGCGAGTCGAGCCGATGATTAGCTTACCCAAATCGTTAGTGGCTCTATGTTGGAAAAATGTTACGAAAATTTGGCATAACTTAGCCCGCAAGGCCAGCCAATTTTCTGAACGACATTCGTGCCCGCGTACACGCGTACAATTCCTAATATATATCTATAGAAATAATAAAAACAAAATCCTACTTTTGCAACTTCCCGTCAAAATTACCTCCCAAGCTATTATTACTATATAAAATCTAATAATTATTATGACAAAATAATAGCTCAATAAATGTGACAACTTTAATATACATATTTTTATACTTAAGGTATAATAATATAATTGTACAATATTAGTATATTTACCTAATAATTATTATTATAATTAAAGAATTGATTGAATAGATATTAGTATAATTGACTAATAATAATTAAGCTAATAATTACCATAATAATAGTATAATTATATTTAAACATGGTCGTTAGATTTTTTCTACAATTCTTAAAATTAATTTTTTAATAATTTATGTCTATGTTTTTTATATACTTAAGGTATAATAATATGAGAATAAAATAAATTATCATTCTTATTCTTCTGTATAATTAATATGGTAATTCTATGGTTATATATATATATATATATATATATATATATATATATATATATATATATATATATATAGAGAGAGAGAGAGAGAGAGAGAGAGAGAGAGAGAGATTGAAATATGGTTGGTGCACCTAGGTGCCGTTGTGCAGTTAAATATGAGTCACTGATCTTGCTTAAATCAACGTCCAAGATTACCAAAATTTAAAAAAAAAAAATAAAATAAAATAAAATAAAATAAAATAAAAAAACGGTGGCAATTTGGTAATTTTTGCATCTAGGTCAAATTTAAGGTGTGTGGTTTTCCTTCTTAAGGTGCATGGTTTTTGTGCTTAAGGTGCGTGGATTTTGTGTTTAAGGTGCGTGGGTTGCATGTGTGCTTAATGTGAGTATTTGTTGAAACTTAAGGTGCGTGGTTTTCCAGTGCGTGATTTGTATGCTTAAGGTGCATCAGTTGTGTGAAACTTAAGGTGAGCCATTTTAAATTCTTATGTGCATGGTTTGTGTTCTTAAGGCGCTTTATTGTGTGCTTAAGGTGCGTGGTTTGTGTACTAAAGGTGCGCCATTTTAATGCTTAAGGTGTGTCAACCGCACAACCGCACGAAAAGCATATAACCGCACCTGAACTCTTTTATATATATGTATATATATATATATATATATATATATATATATATATATATATATATATATATATATATTTATTTATTTATTTAAGATCATGTGCTTAGGTGAGAACGTGAGAACACATCATGTGCATCCATCTAATATTTTTTAATGGTCTAGATTAGATCAAGTGTGTGCGAACGCGCATTAAATGTGTGCAAACGCGATTTAGTGTGTTTGCAGACATTTAATGTGCGTTCGCACACACTTAATATAATCTAGACCATTAAAAAATATTAGATGGATGCACATGATGTGTTCTCACGTTCTCACCTAAGCACATGTTCTCACTGAAACCCTACTATATATATATATATATATATATATATATATATATATATATATATATATATATATATATATATATATATATATATATACATATGTATGTATATATACATATGTATGTATATATACATATGTATGTATATATACATATGTATGTATATATACATATGTATATATAATTCATAAATGCACAATATTAATATAATCACCTAATAATTATTATGCTAATTAAGAAATTAATTGCATATATATTTGTATAATTGACTAATAATTATTTTATTAACTAAGCTATTATTCACATAGATATTAATATAATTACAATTAAACATAGGTCGTTAGATTTTTTTTTTAATAATTATGATTAATTCATTCAGATATGAAGGAGGAGGAAAAAAAAAAAAGTAAATGCGATATGGTAGAAAAGAATATACTTAAGATATAAAAGAATAATTGCACAGATGTTATTATAATTTCCTAATAATTATTATGTTAATTAAGCTAAACATGGATCGTTATATTTATTTTTATAATAATTACAATTAAATTATTTTTCTTTTTTTCTTATTTATTTTTGTAATAATATAATTACATAAATCATACTTCGTATAACATATCAATTTTTGCCGATAATTTCAGACAAACGAGTCATATACTATTCAATTAATTGAGTGATACTTTTGTACTAAT